TTTTTTTTTTTTTTTTTTTTTTGAGACAGAGTCTCACTTTGTTGCCCAGGCTAGAGTGAGTGCCGTGGCATCAGCCTGGCTCACAGCAACCTCAATCTCCTGGGCTCAGCGATCCTACTGCCTCAGCCTCCCGAGTAGCTGGGACTACAGGCATGCGCCACCATGCCCGGCTAATTTTTTGTATATATATTTTTAGTTGGTCAATTAATTTCTTTCTATTTTTGGTAGAGACGGGGTCTCGCTCAGGCTGGTTTCGAACTCCTGACCTTGAGCGATCCGCCCGCCTCGGCCTCCCAAAGTGCTAGGATTACAGGCGTGAGCCACCGCGCCCGGCTGAATATGTTTTTTATTAGTATATTTAAGGATATATTTATTACACATAGTTATATGTTATTATATGTTTCTATATATGTTAATATATGTTTCTATGTATAATATGCATGCATTTCAATTATGTTTTTCCTATATAAAATCGTGTTTATTGGACAGCTGTTTGGGAACAACCCAAAAGTCCTCTAATAGGGAAGTGAATAACAAATTATGGCTCATGCATGCAATAAATATTTATTGAACACCTACTACATTAAGTGTAAAAGCCTATTGAGAACAGTGTATATTGTAGAATGACATTTTTGCAACAGAAAAAATACTTACATTTATATTCTATTAATTATATATGTGTAGATATATATGGATATAGAGAAGAAAAGTTCTGGTAGTATATTTAAATTGTTAACTTTAGGTTCTGCTGGGGAGAGGGGAGGCATCCAATTATGGGAAATTTCTATTCTTTACATTTCTATATTATCTGAAGTTCATCGAACATTTATGTAATAAATACTGAGAGCAAAGTAGAGAGGATAGGGTGACTTTGGCTGGTCTCGGCTGGCCTCAGTCCTGGGACATCGCCTGCTGCCTGGGGAGAGGATGAGGGGAACTGAGGCAGCATTCTTGAAGCTGTCTTTCTCCCTCTTCAAAAATGGGTGGCTCTATCATGAGGCTCAATCATGGGTCTCGACGGGTTGCTCTCTCTGGCGATCTGCCACCCCTGGAGCCTCAGAGAGGCCTTCTGAGACTTTAAGGGGGCTATTCACTTATAGTGTGGGACTCAGGGTGACAACCTCCCTTGTTTGTTGACTTATTTATTAGAGGAAGAACCAGTGACCTCTTCCTGCTGACTTCCCATGCTGTATTAACTCCAGATCAATACAAACTAGATTTGAGTAAGCTGGTAAGGGGGTTCTGATATTCTACATTCAATTTTTTTTTCCTGAAGCAGAGGCATAATTTAGTGATAATAATAATTACTACTCTCATTAGCTATGGAACTAATAATTCATTGAGCACTTTCTATATTCAAACCTGACAATGGTGCTGGTTTGGGGGAAGCCCTTATTATAAAATTCAGAGCTTTGTCTTCAAGTGTTTTAAGCTCCTCCAAAGATTTAGTAGTTGATGGGGATGCC